TCCTCCTCATCCTCCTCCTCCTCCTCCTCCTCCTCCTCCTCCTCCATATCCTCCTCCTCCTCCTCCTCCTCCTCCTCCTCCTTTTCCTCCTCCTCCTCCTCCTCCTCCTCCTCCTCCTCCTCCTCCTCCTCCTCCTCTGCGAGAGGCTCAAGGTGCTGGGGAGACGCCTCTCGCAGAATCTCCGCGAGCGGGCCGGCAGAAGGCAACGCGCACCGTGCCATGAATTTGCCTGCGTTGCGCCGATCTAACGAGGTGCGGTCCGAGTGAGATCCGAGGCCCCATGGGTTCAAGGTTTCGCAGCCAGTGTTGAGGACAGCCGGTTGCGTCTGGCAGGCCTTAGGCATAACCTCTTTTGATGTCGGAGGAGAGTCAGCATGCATAGCACGTGTATTCGGGGCTCCAGGGTTCGGCTCTGTCGCCTCTTCGCCTGCTATGCCTCCAGAGCTGCACGGTTCTTCCCCATGCTTTAATTTGGGTATTGGCAGTTGCGGGTGTGGGGTGTGACGATCCTTTGTCGTTGCCCCTGCTGCTGCAAAATTTGCGTCGGCTGCGCTGCGCATCCGCCTGCGACTGCGAATTCTCTGTCTCTGCCGAGGCACGGAACGTGACAAAATAGCCGGATGTGTTCGATGATAAACAAGATTGCGTCGCTCAAGACGACGATTTGGGGCGGCAGTTGAGATAATTTCTGCACTCGGACACAAATGCTTGGCGGTGAAAGGAGAGGGGAGGGGGAGGCCCTAGTGCCCGATGTCCTGCAGCACCTGGGCGATCCTCGCTCGGCAGTGTACTCTGCGGTCTCGTGGCCACTGAGCTGCCTGTGGCGCTCTCTTCCCGCCCACGCGCCGACCCCAAGCCGCCGAGTGCTGTGCCGCGGCTCCTGGGCCCCAGGAGTAGTGGGCCGCCGTGCGCTGACACGGGCCTGCGACGCGACTCGAGCGCAGCAGGGGGCAGTCGCGGGGCGGGCGAGCGTGGCGACCAGGACGAGAGCGCCGAAGCTGGAGCAGCTGCCGCCATGCTTTGATCACTCCACTTCGAGGCCCGCAGCGCGCCATTCAACTCCACAACTCCTTTCCGTGATCTCGCGGGCGCTGGATTGCACGTGGCGCTCTCTTCCCGCCCGCGCGCCGATCTCCCAGACTCAGCCGAGTGCCGCGTCGAGTGCCGCGTCGCGGCCCTTGGGCCCCCGGGGTAGAGAGAGAGAGAGAGAGAGCCGCCGGGCATTGACCCAGGCCTGCGACATGGCTCAGACACGGCAGGGGGCAGTCGCAGGGCGGGTGAGTATAGCGGCCCCCCCCCCTCGCCCGCCCCCCCCCCCTTCCCATCCCTCCCCCTCAACTCGCCTCCCCTCCCCCCCATTCTCTTCCCCTCCACCTTCATCCCTTCACCTCCCCCTTCAATCTCCCTCCCCTCCCCCGTCTCCATCACCTCCCCAGCCCCCCTCAGATGAGGTCCCCGAAACTGAAGGAATTCAAGCACGTGGTGCAGTGTCTTGGTCGTTCCATTGCGAGTTGGGCAGCGCGCCTCAGCTCACTTCGCAGCTCCTCGGCTGTGCTGAGGAGAACTGCTGACTTGCGAGGCGGGGTACGGTGGGGGCGTTGGTTAAGGAATGCGCCCAGGAGGCTGCAGACCCTGGAAGATTCCTCATCTGAAGAGGGCGGTGGTGATGTACATGGCCAAGCCTCGCTTTGCAGTTCCGCCAGTCTCCATACCCTGGATTCCTTGTCTGAGGGTTCCTTATTCAATACCTCCGCCGTACTCCCTGAGCCACCTTCCGACGGCCTGGCGCCCGTCTTGAGGCTCAGGTCCTTCATGTCCTACGCGATGCCAGTGCGGTGAGCACCTTCGCTCTGGCTCGCTCGCCGCGGGACTGCGTCGGTCCAGGCAGCAGCGGGCCCTCCACCTGAGAGACGATGTTAGAGGCTGCGCAGGCTGAAGCAAGCGCTCTGGAGGAGGAGGAGGAGGAGGAGGAGGAGGCGGAGGAGGAGGAGGTGGGAGGAGGGAGGAGGGAGGAAGAGGGAGGAGGAGGAGGGAGGAGGGAGGAGAGGGGAGGGAGGAGGGAGGAAGAGTAGGGAGGAGGATGAGGAGGGGGAGAGGAGGAGGAGGAGGAGGAGAACTTGCAGGGAGGGGGAAGCGAGCTTGAGGGCGAGCTCGAGGCGAGAAGGCCCGCCCCCGCTCGCTTCCCCCACCCCCAGGCCTGCCGATCTTGAACCAAAGGCCCCCCAGCATTGGGCGGGCCATGGTGTCCTTGGTGCGGCTTTGTCCTCGGCGTCGTTCCTCCTCTGCGCTGTGTGCTCGGCTGGGGCTGGTGCAGGAGTCATGACATCTGCTGGGGAGGCCGTCTTCGGAGGCTTCACTGGCGGTCCAAGGCTCGTCGCTCTTCTCGCGGGGGGGGGGCGTTGTAGGCAACCCGACCGTGATAGGCGCACCCGTCTGAACCAACGAAGTCGCCTCTTGAGCTGGCGGAGGCGGCGCTGGCGGTGGACCTGGGTGCCCACCTTTCCCCGCTGCAGTAAGCTCCACGGCCTGACCTGCACCGCTGTCCGACATCATAGATGTAAGCTTGCCTTGGGAAGACATGAACTGTTACTCCATCACATCCTAGCTCGACATCATCATATGACTAGCTGAGGCAGTTGTACGTTGCTGCTGCTTGTTGTACTGCAGGCCCGTGATGATGTTGGTTGCTGCATGGTGCGTCGTGTTTGACGGTTCGCCTTGAGGCTCCCATCTTTTGAGTCCACCATGAGGATTTCTCGTGCCAGCATTTGGATGTTGTTGGGGAGGGAGCTGAGACAGCTGAGGTACATGATGTTGACGACGGGGGTTACTTCAGAAGCCCGTCTGATTCGGCGGCCGTATGCGTCTGTGATGGATGACGGTATGCCGAGTTGTTATGTTGTCAGTATTAGTGTGTTTGTTGCAGCGCTGAGTCTTGCTCTGTCGCGCGGGCATCCTGGATGAGCTCATCCAATTCTGTATAGTTCATTTCGGGCTCCTTCCGTTTGTTGATTGTGTTTCGCAAGGTCTGTTCGAGCTTGTGCTTCTGAAAACGTGCATATGCTATTGTTTCGCCGATCGGTTTCAGAGTTGTCAAGCAATAAGCTAGCATCGTTAGTCCTCCTTCTTCCAAACAGTCTGCCGTGTCCGCCCAACGCGCCTCCACCCTTACATTTGCTAAGGTGAACTGGCGCTCCGTGATCCGCTTCGTGTATTCTGGAAACTGGTACATCGAGCCTGGAAGTTTCCACTTCTCCCATTCTTGGTGGCTCTCGGCTATTATCATGGGGGCAGTTGGAACTTGTTCCAATGTACTGGACCACTGGTTTGCCCGCAATCTGCCTGGAAGTGGACAGCGACCTCTCTCGACGACGTTGCTGCTATGACTTCCGCACGAACAGAACCAGTGCCACGGCTTGACATGCTTTCCACATTAACACATCCGTCTCGTTTGCCGTTGCGCCATCACTTTCAATTCTTTGGAACTGACAAGGTGTATCTAAAACCTCCATGGCTTTCAGAATGCGAAGGGTTACTCTTGAGAGAGTGCGTCGTGCTCTCTGCCTGAGATGCCAGGATGGCTTGGGAGCACGCTTCGTGGTGTAAGGAGTAATCATGAGAAGAGGGATACAGGGAGTGCGACAAAGAGCGGCTCGCTTGGGCAACGCAAAGGGTTGGCACGGCATCGGCAGTGTGACCACTTGAGGTTGGAAGCCGCCTTTCGGCCAAGACGCCTCTCCTCCTCCTTCTCCTCCCCCTGCTCCTCCTCCTCCTCCTGCTCCTGCTCCTCCTCCTCGTCCTTGCTCCTCCCTCCTCCCTCCTCCCTGCTCCCTCCTTCCCTCCCTCCTCCCTCCTGATCATCCTCCCTACTTTCCTCCCTCCTCCCTCACCCCTCCTCCCCTCCCTCCTCCTCCTCCCTCCTCCTCCCTCCTTCCACCTCCTCCTCCTCCTCCTCCTCCTCCATCCTCCTCCTCCTCCCTCCTCCTCCTCCTCCCCCTCCTCTTTCTCCTCCTCCTCTTTCTCCTCCTCTTCCTCATCCTCCTGGTCCTCTTTCTCCTCGTCCCTCCTCCTCTACGTCCTTCTTCGCGGTTCGTTTTCCTTATACATCTTTTTCCCTTGTCGCAAGCGGAGGCCAGTTTTTTAAGCGGTCCGGGCGATTTGCCTCAGACGATTTTCCCATTTATGACCTTGAAGCTTAAACGTTGGCAACAGCATCACAGATGGAGGGCGTGCCGCTTTCAGAATGTGTCTCTCGCTGTAGCGCCGCGCACATGTTTTAAACAATTGCAAGAACTTCACGGATTGAGGGCGGGTGGTTTGCACAGTGTGGCTCTCGCATTAGAGCCGCGCATGCTCGTTTTGAACATTGGCAAGAGTTGCACGGATTGAGGGCCGTTCCGTTTCAAAGTGTGGCTCTCGCCCCAGCGCCGCGTGCATTCTTTGTAAACCTCTGCAAGAGCTTCACGGGTGGAGGCGGGTCGTTGTCAACATGTGTTTCTCACCTCAGCGCCGCGCACACTCGTTTTGAAGATTTGCAAGAGCTCCCCAGATTGAGGGCTGGCCGTTTTCAATAAGTGGCTCTCGCCTGAGCGCCGCGCACATTCGTTTGTACGATTTGCAAGAGCCTCACGGATTGAGGGCATATCCTTTCCAAAATGTGGTGATCGCGGATTCAGGATTATGAGGGTACAACAATTACGTTGATTCGCGGTGTTGAAGTCCCAGGAACGGCGTTTTGAAATGCTTCAGGATTGTCAAGACAGAACTGTCAGGTTGATCCGTGGCGTTGGGATCCCGAAAACAATGGTTTGGCATGTTTCAGGGTCTTCAAACGGTTGTCTTCCAACGAGGCAGTTCCTTCAGTGGAAATCAACCGTTGTAGGGGCCTATGAAGACGGAGCTTGGAGGGAGGGTTTATTCCAACATCGTTGATGACTCTTGGCTTTACACTGGTCCTCCTCCTCAGCCTCCTCCTGCTTCTCCTCCTCCTCCTCCTTCTCCTCCTCCTGGTCCTCCTCTCCTCCTTCCCACGAGCCCAAGCCGTCGTCACAGGCCATGTGAGCGAAGATCAAAAGCGATTATCATTCGACATGGCGTGGCAACCTTACGCGGTCGCGGTGGCTTCCGCGGGCCGCCGGCGCGGCACGCTGCACTGGAAATGAGGGCGTCTGCACGCGACCTTGCGTCTGCGCGCGACCCTGCGCGAAGCCGGTGTTGCTTGCGTCGCTCATGCGCTGTCTCGAGCGCACCCAGCCTCCAAGCAGATGGAGGAGAGAGGGGGCGGGATGCCTTTCTCGCTCGGGGCGGGCCCAGCCCCGAGCGACGAGGCCCCCGGGGGGGGGGGCAAGGAGAGGACGGCGGTGCCAGGCCCGAGCAGCCCGAGCCAGCGGCCTCGAGGAGGGGAGCGGAAGCAGCGGACGACGATCTTCGGTCCTGCCCAGGTCCCTGGGCGCCCAGCGGTCTGCGGAGGGCTCCTGCGCACGGAGACACCTGGAGGCCGACGAGCGAAGCCGGTTCGCAAGCGCACGGAGGGTATCGAGCAGGGCGGGGTTGTCGGGTAAAGGCCCAGGGCCGCTCTGCAAAGGCCCACTGAGGGTCGGGGCGGTTTTTCCTCATTTGCCTTGAGCAAGTCGGGCACGTCCCTGTACGTTCTGGGTACGATTTGGGGACTCTTTCTGTGTATCGTTGCTTCTTTTTGGACTATCTTTTATTTGTCGTCCAAAATCCGCCTGTAGGGGGACAAGCTCGACCGAACACTATGAGGGTCGGGGTGGTTTTGACTCACTTGACTCGATCCTCCTAATCCTCCCAGGAGGGATGAGCTGGACACGGAACAGTCTGGGGGCAAGAGGAGAGGTTTGGACGGGGCCAGGAGGAGGATAATTCCGCTCCCGAGCGCTCCGGACCGCTCTGACAAGGCCGCGGAGCCCGAGACATTTTCCAGAGCCGCTGGATTCCAGAGATTGGCGATTTATCCTCACCCGATGTTATCCTCCTCGTGGCTTCGTGTCAGAGGGACGTCGTACGCGCCCAGGTGGGGCTGCCGGCACCAGCGGCTCCAGCGAGGCTGCAGCCCCGGCGCCCGCGCCGCAGCCAGAGGGGCCGGGACCGTCGGCGGTCCCTGCAACCCGCCTGGGCAGCATGCCCGTGGCAGAGGACCCATCGGCGGCGGCGGCGATGCCAACCAGACCACGCCCTAACCCTACACCAAGCACCCGAACCCCAAACGCCCTAAGCAGACACCCGACACCCTTGCCCTCACCCCCGAACCCCGACACCTCAGACCTCACACCCAAATCCTAACCCTCTAACCCTAACACCCCAAGCCTAAGTTAACCATAACACCCTGACACTAACTCCCGAACCCGAACACCGTATCTCAACAGTGACACCCTAATCCTAGTACCCCCACGCCCTAGCAATGGCCCGGATTCTAACACAACAAACTACAATTATAATTCCATGATGTTCTCAGATTCTAGAGCTGCTGCACCAGAAAACTCTAAGACCATAACCCCATGGGACCCGAATGCCCCGAATCCCCAAACGTGTATAACAATATAGCCGTATTGCAATACATCCCCATTGCAGTAAATATACCATACCTAAAATCCTATAAGCGCAATGTCCTCGTTCATTAACACCCCGAGACACTAAAGCCACAAAATCATAGGACCCCAAGCTCCTAAGGTCAGAATGCCTTAGGACGATCCCGCCCGCAGTTGAATCAAATCCAGGAAAACGCAACACGCATCAGACCCCAAGGTTCTGAGCTCGCCCCAGGCGGCCATGACCAGGCAACCTCTTCGGCGACGGCTCTGAGCCTACGTGAAGCTCAGCGGATGGCTCAGACGAAATTGCACGAACCACCGACCAAAAACGAAAACGTTCACAATGTGTTCATGCGTTCAACGAGAAATCTTCGGCCGGCCGCCCAGGAGCCTGGCGCGGAGGAGCCTGGCGAGCTCAGCTTCGAGGACATGGCTTGGGAGCCGCTGCCCCAGGACCACCACTTCGTGCATTCGCCGCCGCACCCGGCGGGGCCCTCGTGCCGGCAGTTCATGAGGCCCACCTCGGGCGGGGAACAGTTCGCCACAGATGGTGCCGTTCGAGCTTCGAATCTTCGGGCGTTCGCGTCGGCTCTCGACGGTCTTCCAGCACTGGGACGCTCTCCGGCGGCTGCGTCTCGCCAGCGGCGTTTTGGGGGTGCCCGGTTGATCCCGACCGGCCGTGGGAGGGCCAAGGAATGGCGCGAAAACCAGCGCAGGCCTAAGGGGACCAGGAAATCTCCTCCTCCTCCTCCTCCTCCTCCTCCTCCTCCTCCTCCTCCTCCTGCTCCTCCTACCCTCCCCTCTCCTCCTCCCACCTCCTTCCTCCTCCTCTCCTCCTCCTCCTCCTCCTCCTCCTCCTCCTCCTCCTCCTCCTCCTCCTCCTCCTCCTCCTCCTCCTCCTCCTCCTCCTCCTCCTCCTCCTCCTCCTCCTCCTCCTCTCTCCTCCCTCCTCCCTCCTCCCTCCCTCCTCCTCCCTCCTCCCTCCTCCCTCCTCCCTCCTCCTCCTCCTCCTCCTCCACCTCCTCCTCCCTCCTCCTCCTCCTCCTCCTCTCCTCCTGGTCCTCCTCCTCCTCCTCCCTCCTCCTCCTGGTCCTCCCTGGTTCTCCTCCTCCCCCTCCCACTCCTCCTCCTCCTCCTCCTCCTCCTCCTCCTCCTCCTCCTCCTCCTCCTCCTCCTCCTCCTCCTCCCTCCTCCCTCCCCTCCCTCCCCTCCTCCTCCCACCTCTTTCTCCTCCTCCCCCCTCCTCCTCCTCCCTCCTCCTCCCTCCCCCCTCCTCCTCCTCCTCCCCCTCCCCTTCCTCCTCCTCCTCCTCCTCCTCCTCCTCCTCCTCCTCCTCCATCCTCCTCCTCCTCCTCCTCCTCAGGTCCTCCGTCTCCTCCTCCTCCCTCCTCCTCTCCTCCTCCTCCTCCTCCTCCCTCCTCCTACCCTCCTTCCTCCTCCTCCCACCTCCTTCCTCCTCCTCCGTCCTCCTACCTCCTCCCTCCTCCTCCTCATCCTCATCCTCCTCCTTCTCCTCCTCCTCCTCCTCCTCCTCCTCCTCCTCCTCATCATCATCATCATCCTCCTCCTAGTCCTCCTCCCAGTGGCCTCTCGTCGCCACGGCCAGCTCAGCCGCGCAAATCTCGCGAGGGTCGGCCCCGCAGGGGCGCGGGCTCGGATGCCTGAGGCGAGCGGGCCCCAAGGGAGACTGATCCCGAAGGCCGTGGGCCGCTCCCGCTCTCCAGGGGCCCTCCCTGGGCCCTTGGCCTTCCCCATAATACCAGGAGGGGAAAGAACACACAGACACAATGAATCGCCGATATCCCAAGAAAATACGGGAAACTATGGGAAGTGGGGGGGAAGACAAACATCCAAAACATACTGAAAAATATGGGTCGACTGGCGGCGACCCCGCCGCCAGCGTTCAACGTTGATCGCCGCCAGCGACCCTGAATCGGTCGATGTTGAACGATCGGACGTTTCGGAAAGGGCCGATCGTTCAAGGTTGAACGATCCGCGCTGTGTCAGGAACCAACGCCAGGGTCGACACACGACACGGACCTGCCGTAGGCAGCCCGAGGCGTTTTCTGATGGTCCCCTGGCAGGGCCCGCTTCCCTCGAGACCCGTCCAGCTTCCTGCCACAGCAGGCCCACATCCCCAGCATCGCAGTCCGGACTCCTCGGCCGCGAACCCTTGGGCGCAGGGCGATTTTGCGCGGAGGTCCCGTGCGGGCTTTATCCGTGGAATCGCGTACCCATCGATATGGGTGTGTATGTTTGTCGCTCGTTATGATGTGTATGTTTGGCCCCCGTAACTACGGGCCCGGAACGGCTGGCGTCAGCGTGGATCGGCGGTTTGGTCTGGGCCCCGAGTTGACATGGGGCCCAGCGCTGGTAGCGCGTCTGTTCTGCAACCCAGCATCCGAGACGAGTTCAGGTATGGGCACGTGGTGCTAAGACTCGAATCGATATGAAGAAAGTTGCTTGATTGCGGTTTGCGCGAAGTGGGGGCTGGGACTGAGTGAAGAGCGCATTAGAAACGCAGTACTCAGCACTACGGCTCGTAGAACCACAGTTTCGCAGATTCCGAAGGCGCGTGCAGCGCGAGTGGGAGATCCTGCGAAGAGGCTTGCCTCGCAGCATCTGGGTGCACGTGTACCCGGACCGCACGGAGTTGTTGCGAGCTTGTCTGATTGGTCCCGAAGGCATTGCTCAGGGGAGGAAGGCTGGCCCCCCCCACACACTACAGTCGGGGCAGTCGGGGCCCTGAAGAAGGAACCCGTTTCGTTGGGGAGGGGCTCCGCGTTCCTTAAGTGTTTCACAGCTTGCCTCAGGCTTTCCTTATGTTTCCGACCGGAAATCGAAGGTTAACTTATGGAACAAAGGGGCCTCGTTCCTTATTTAGGGTTCCTTAGGTCAACGCCCCGACTGTCATGCGGAAGCCGTACCGAGCCCCTCCACCTGGTGACAGGCTCGGTACGGTCTCTGTGGTGGGATTTAACTGCGGTGTGGCCATGCCTCCTCTCCGAGGCACTCCATACTCCGACGCGCTGTTTTTCTTCGACGTCCACTTGCCCGCGGCCTACCCGCAGGTTCCACCACAGGTGAAGTTCTGGTCTTTCGGCGAGAACCTAAACCCGAATCTCTACGAGAATGGCAAGGTGTGCCTCAGCCTCCTCGGCACGTGGACAGGCAGGGACTCGGAAACGTGGAGCCCCGAGAGGAGCAACCTCCTGCAGGTCTTGGTCTCCATCTTGGGCTTGGTGTTGAACACGGAGCCGTACTACAACGAGCCCGGCTTCGAGCGCGAGCGCGACACTCCGCAGGGCGACCTCCGCTCGCAGCGCTACAACGAGTCCGTGGCGCTGTCGAGCTACCACCTCATGTTATCGGTCCGGAGGGAGGAGGAGGAGGGAGGAGGGAGGAGGGAGGAGGGAGGAGAGA